ATTTCCAGCACTGGGCCATTGTTGGGTACCTGCCTAAACGTTTCGCCGGGATCGTCATTGAGAAGGGCCATCGTAAACACATAGTTACAACTTATCAAAGTGACAAACGAAGGCAATCCCCTTGGCCACTTTTTGGTTCAACCGTTATGGCATCACTCCTCACTCCTACTTTCTGTTCTCCCTTCTAGTGCCACATCTCTTTCTCTCAATCCCATTTGTATGACCCGTCCACCTTTTCATATAATTGTATGCTCTCATTTCCTCCAATGTCACTACAAGTAGGTTTAGTGAAGCGTAATCATCTCCACCACAGAAACCATAATAAGAACGACATAGTTCCTCTTCAACGGTCGTATCTAGGGGCAAATAGTTGGTCTGCCTATGGGCTCACCACTCTCACCTCTGTTGGCTGTCTTCATGGACAAGTTGGACTGGTAGTCTCGAAAATCTGCTCATTTACGAAAAAAGTTGAACGAGAATTTCAAAATTTAACCCTAGCAGCCAACAGTAGTTATGTGATATTTGGATGACTATGCAATTTGGTCGCATGGAAGAGAAAAATTAGACGATTTTCTTATCTCTATAAACGAAATAGATGAAAAAGTCAAATTTACCATAAATTTGGAAGAGGACGGACACTTGACTTTCTTGGATGTGGAGGTCATTCGCTCCGAAGAAACTCTCAGGAAAAGGTTTTTTAGAAAGAATTCGCAAGTTAGAATGAATCTTAACTTCCAATCGAAGAATCTTATAGGATGAAGTTTGGAATACTCCAGAGTATGGTTATAGGAAGCTTACGACCCACCGATTCTGAGTTCTGGGAAAACTAACTCATATTTTTCTTGTAAACGGATGTCCAGAAGAAGCAATGCAACGCAACTTACGGATGGTGATGAACAGATGGTAGGACGGAGATAATGAAAGGAAATCAAGAGGAGCAGAGGAAAAACTATGGATATTTCAACCCTCCTGCGAATTAACTCGGATGCTACGAGCGATACTAGGGAAATGGAACATTCATACAATCCTGAAGGAAAGGATAATCTTCTTCACCAGCTTGCCCACACAACATGAAGAAATTCAGAAAGTAGAGTGCTCAGGAGTTTACAACATAAGCTGCAAGGATTGTAACCAAAAATACTTTAGAGAAATGGAAAGGATAATCAACACAAGGATTAAAAGAACACCAGTGACTAGGCAGAAAAATGGATACGAAAAAATCGGAGATAGCTGAACACATCGCCATTACCGACCACACAATTGACTGGAATGCAACGGAAGGACTGGCCTCATGTGGAGAAAACACCAGGAAATGGAAGATCAGAGAGGCTGTGGACATCCTCTTCCAAAGAAACCTGATGAACAGGATATTGGAAGAAGAAAGTCGGCAATAATTTCGCGTACTGCCTCAGCAGACTTAGAGATTCAGCGAATACATGAAAAAAGAAGACGCTTGGACCCAAGACAACTGTTTAACAACAGGAAGAGACATCATCAAGAAGTGACTCATAAGGAAATCAAGAAAAAATGAATGCAGTAAGATGAGTCAACTGTGGAATTAGCCAAAGATTCACCAAGGGGGTTTACCTATGAGACGTAGGATATGAAATTAAAGGCTAATGGCATAGGTGGGCCAGATATAGGTCACCAGGGTGTGTGAGTAGGTGTTGTGTGTATTTCTCGTATTAGTGTCTGAAGGAGAAGTGATTGGTTACATGCTTGACCCTAGGGGATAGCAGCCAAAGCATATACACAGGACCATCATCCTAGTACCCCAGGATTAAATAGGAATAGGAGACGAGAGGAGTTTGTGCGTCAGGAGCCCTCCAAACGGCATCTTGTACCGGTGGTGGGGATGATTACGCTTCACTAAACCTGCTGGTGGCGATACACTCATAGGAGATACTGAGGGAATGAAAGCACATAATTGTATAAGTGGGATTGAGAGAAAAAGATACGGCACTACAAGGGACTACGAGAAGAGATGTCACAACGGTTGAACAGAAAATTGGCCAAGGAGATTGCCTTCACTTGTCATTTTGATCAGTTATAACTATGTGCTTACGATGGCGCCTCTCAATGACGATCCCGGCGAAACGTTTAGGAATGTACCCAGCCAATGGCCCACTGTTGGAAATTACGAATAATATGGCAGAGGACACTATACTAGGCACGTTCCACAAAGTCTCCCTGACGCTCGACCAAGTTGTGAAAGCAAGGTCGAAACAACGCGATAAAGTTAGACTGAGATCAAGCAAAGGCCCCGCCATCTTGTCCTTCATATCTACTATACAATGAATTAATCTTTTCCTGAGCTCTTTCCTACTAAGATCCCAAGAAGCTGGTTTGACACTAACTCTGAGGGTTGCGCCGCACATTTCATAGAAGTATTAGGATATGGAGGCACTATCCCGAAGCTTGAAAGCAAATAACCCCTTCCTATCGACTTGACAGTCGTATAAATTTCTTATTAAAACTTGCGCGTCTCGAAGAGCCTTTTGAGCTAGTATAGATAAATCTCAATGCTTTATGCATCATGCAACCTTAATTATTTATAGTAATCGTAAGTAGAGCACCTTCCTTATGAATTTTAAGATTATAGATAACTGTTTGCCCAGCAATTCTCTGAACAAGTCCGTTAAAAGATTTTCGGACCCTTATTCGAGATAAGGGCTATATAATGCCTGGTGCTCAATCAGCAATGTATAAGTAGGGGAGACCTGCTGACCCACATATAGGATATTATTTATGTATAAATCAGCTAAAGATTTTAACTGGCCGAGGATGTGGCTATAACAAGACACGAAATATAATGCTCTAAAACGGCATTTTGCAGAGCACATGAAGGCAAACCAAAATCAAACAATGGGGAGTATATAGCAATAAACATAAAAATAATAAGAGGAATAAGATTATAGAAGTAAGCGGATTCTAATTGAAGCTAAGAAATTAGTCATCTGAGCTCGCTTTAGGTGATTCAAGAACCGATAGTTGAGTTTTTCACAATAAGATGGCTAGACCTCACGACATCATAGAATTTCACTTTGCCTTACTTTAAAAAGGGATGTCTCATCCAGGTATAGGTTTCAATAATCATCATATACTTATTTGTAATATACTATTTCATAGAAGATTGGTTCGGGTATAATATTTTAACAGCTAAATTCGACTACTTATGATACTATTAAAATATTTCCAACAAAACATCCCAAAATTTAGATTGCTGGCAAAAAATAAATGCAATTAAAAAACTAGTAGCTAGATAAAGAACATTAGGTGTAGATAATAAAGTTTATTCATAGTTTGAGTACTGTATAGCCAGGTTAAATTATTCTATCGAAGATATGAAGACCAAGATGGTGTGGCCTCTTGTGTGGTCGCAGTCTCCTTTCGTTGGATAGAAGTTGTTTGACCTTGTTTTCGCAACGTGGTCATATTGGTAGGAAGACTTAGAGTCGTCCAAAGTCGTACCGTAGACGTGGTACATTCCCAGAAGTTTCGCCGGCATCGTCAGTGAGTCTTGACAGTCTTAGCACCAAAAAACAATTAGTCAGAGACAAATGAAGTCCATCCTTTGACCAAATGTGTGCCAAACAGTTGTGGTATCTCTCCTTCTGTCATAAGCTATTCACCTCTCCTATATCCTCGTATCATGCCTTCACTATTACAATTTTTCCTTGCTTATTTAAATCTAGTGTGGTATGCTCTTTTGAGCGGTTTTCATGAAAAGCCTCCACACTCCACCCTGGCGTTCTCACTCCTCTTCACCCTTGTGTTGGGAATGTTGATCAAAGTCTCCCATATTGTTACGCAGTCCTCCTTCCATAGGTATTATCAGAGTCTTCCTCTTACCCAGTAGGATCTGTCTGCTATCTCCCTGGTTCAAGTATTTCCCTAGACCCCTACCACCTCATCTGTGCTTCACGAGGCGTTATTACCTATCCCCTGAGTCTGGGTGACTAATTCGGGGTTAAGGCCCCTGCATAATTCTCATGTCAAGCCTTTGCTACATGGACCACGTCTATGGTAAAACAGGCCTACTGTCAGCTACTAGCTCGTCTACACTGCATCTATCCTGTTTTATTCCATACTATCAAGTCTATGACTTGCTATGCGCCAGTCTCTTGTGTGCCAACCCACAAACGCTGTGGTTCAACATTGAACCTAATCAAAGTAAGCCGTATGGAAATAGTGGACATCAGAATCATACTCTGGCCTCTATGTGGGCTGCAAGATTAGCCTATATCTCAGACCAGGCTACCAGAACATACGTTCTAGAAAGAACATAGGACAATATCGATACAACGCCTTCTATACATGCCCACTTCAAAGTAAGTGTATTATAAAGTTGTAAGGCAAACCCTTTAAGTGACTCTTTGGAGCCTTTTGAAGGCCAATGCATCGACTCTATGGAAAAATGTCAATAGTGATATTCCGAACGGCGTTTTAGTTTGACAAGAAGTGTTCCAAGACTTTCTATAAGGTTTATTGAAGACTTATGGCGTTTATTTCTCCTGCCAAGATAACTAGATTTAATTCAATTATACTCCCAAGAACCTAGAGGGCGCCTATTTTTATTTTTATGGATGGAATAATATAAGTTCTCAGTTCCGGTCAAATTTTATCCTCAGCCATGAAGCCTTGAATCAACAGCGAGCCTGTAAGACTAACCTTAAACCGAATCTAGCGTAAGTAGATATTACAACACGAGCAAATACTGATGCATTTATTCTGATTTAAATTGCAAGATAGCATTTTTTGAACTAGCGCATATTTGAGAAATTAAAGTCATCTCAATACCTGGCATCGAAATCTCAGGAGTTTCAGCAGAGATTTAGTAAATTATGTTCGCTAGAGTAAGGAGATTATGAAGCTATTCTAGCCTTAAGATCGAAGCAAAATGTAAAAAGTCCAAATTGATCTCAACAATTTAAGAAACAATAAAAATAAAAAAGCCTGGCATACGAGTGAAATAATGAGCTCGCGCATAAAGGAGAAATTCATTCACTTACAGAGCCCTGAAATCCTTTATATCTCGAGTAACGCTGTTGAAATTCGTGAAACCAATCTTGACTTTGATCATCGTTAAAACGGGTTCCCATAATCCCTGGCTCAGGTTTGATCGTTTCTTCTACAGATGAAGGTACTGGTTGGTTTATTTCTTCACCCGATGAAGAATCCTCAGCTTGCTGGTATTCTAACCGACGTCTGAAGGCTTTAAAGAGGTCCTGAAATTCTGGATGAAGCGCTAACCAGAACCTGATCATATCTGCAGACTCAGCTATGGTCGCTTGCTCTAAGTCAGCGAATGTATCTTAATATCGATTTCAATAAAAGTAGAAAGGAATGAAGTATGGTTAACGAGAAAGAATAGATATAGTAGAATGTATGAAGACCAAGATGGTGCGAATTTTGGTGTAGTTGCAGTCTACTTTCGTTGTATAGAAGTTATTTGACCTGGTTTTCGCAACTTGGTCATATTGGTAGAAAGACTTAGAGTAACGCACCTTGTTGAGGGTCCATTGTATGCATGATAATTTCCAGCCGGACAGTGGATGTGATACATTCCCAGAAGTTTCTCCGGCATTGTCCGTGAGCTTTGTCAGTCGTAACACCACGCTAAAACTCATCAGAGACAAGTGAAGCAGATCATTCGACCAATTATCTGCCAAACAATTGTAGCATCTCTCATTCTGCCATGGACTATTCACCAACCTACAAACGATGTGGTTCTACATTGAACCTAATCAAAATAAGTAGAACCACAACATTTGTAGATTGATGAATAGCCCAAGGCAGAATGTTTGGCAAACAATTGGTCAAAGGATCGGCTTCACTTGTCTCTTTGACGAGTTGTAATGTGATACCAAGATTAGCAAAACTCATTGACGATGCCGGCGAAACGTCTGGGAATATACCAAATCCACGGTCCGACTCTGGAAATTAGCATGGATACAATGGACTCCAGGCTATGTGCGTTCCTCTAAGTCTTCCTACAAATATGACCAAGTTGCGAAAAAAAGATCAAGCAACTTCAATAGATATAGTGACCCAGATGGAAAATTGAATAAACAAATAGTAAACAACAATACACGAGAAGATATGTGGAGATTTGTAGATGTACGAAACAAATGTTAATTGTATTAAAAGGAAAAGCTATTGAAACTAGAATACGATGGTGAATGTATATTACTATGAATTGATTAGGCCAGATGGTCAAAAATATTTCAGCAAGGCCTAACTTTTTTGCCTATGACGTGCCTGCTGGTATGGTGCAGGCGTGCTTAAAATTACAGATAATCATGGAGGAGACCATAATCTTGGCGCACAATATATAATGAATTGCGATAGCCAAATAAAGCCAGCGCCTTAAATTAACTTAGAAAAACAAACTTAAACTTATTCAAGATGTGAAGACCAAGATGTTGTGGCCTCGGGTATGGTCGCAGTCTTCTTTCGACTTATAGAAGTGGGT